TGAGAACAACTTTTATAAATCAGAATGGCGAGGTGCTCAGTGGTCTTCCCATCTACGTGCAGCTCGCGCTACCAGAGCACGGAAACAAAAAGGGATTAATTATGTTTCTCATTTAAGCGGGATTATATTATGAAATACTCTGTGGAATAATAAGGTGATTATTCTGTATTTAGATGATTTCACCCCATCCGTGCCATTCAGTAATACTGAGCTAAGTTTGGAAAAGATTTAAATTAATTTCATTCTGTTGACATATACATTCAGCCTCTTAATTATGAGCCAACATAAAGCAGGATAAAACCTGTTAAATACCAAATTGCCTCTTGAACCTTTTTGAAATTTTACACATAATTTTTAGTTATACAGCACCTTAGCTGATTGCTTTCTCGATGCTAAATACCTCTCTTGCTATGATTTTTATTCATACCATATTCATACACAAATGAGGTTATAAAGCCATTTAGCTGTGCTTAGGTTCTCTCTTTGCTTCAGTACGTACGGGGACCTGCCTCAGATTTCTTTCCTTTTACGGAAGGTCTCCTCCTCTTCCTTTCTTCCATCCATCCATCCATCCATCCATCCATCCATCCATAACCGCTTACCCAGGGTTGCAGTCCGCCTGCTGCTTGTTCTGGGACTTACGGACATGAGGATTTGGCTCCCTGAATGGGACACCAGTTCATACTTCTCGATATAATGTGTTTTCGTAAAAGGCTACATAACTGCTGGGGAAAGTGATCTTTCCTTGTCATTTGCTAAAAGCAAATTTACTCACATGGTTGCACCCCTCAACACTGTTTAACGTGAAGGGTTTTTCTTCCTGTTTGAAATTGAATTATTTTCACTTTCCTGGTAATTACAGTATGTTAAACCGGCCTCTGTGGCTGTTTGCCTTCGCCCTGTGCAGCCACTGTGAAATTAACTTCTTTCCCCTCCAACTCGGCTCCCATCAAAGTCGTATTCCGCCGACCAAGATCTTCTGTCAGATTTCCGGGAGATTGTGGTGCAGCCCGTGGAGGGAGACTGTTGGTGAAAAACGAGTGAAGACATTCCCAGTGAAGAACAGGAGGACAGTTGGCTTATCATTGTGGAATTTTTTTACTTATATTTCATTGAGAAGTTGTACTTCTGTGGATGGAAGTAATTCGGCTCATCGAAACACAAAATCTCAGTAACGAATTCAGTAACGAAAATCGAGAGGCCGTCTTACAGCGGGTTTTGGAACATGGGCCCCGCGATGCTGGTGGAAGAGCGCAGGGCACGTGAACCTCACCACATAATTGTGCACACGAGTGTATGTTCTTCTCAGTGGAGAAGAGGGTGGGACTGCCTGCTTCCCAGAGCTTTGACGTGAAGCCCGTGTTTTGGAATTTGGATTTTCCTCATTTCTTTTATAATATAATTAAAAACCTAACCAGTACAAACCTCTGCAGTCTAACGGTTCTGGTCCTGGTGGTTTCCAAGTTAGCCATCCATTACCCTTCTACCAACCTGCCCCTTGTTTTATTAAGCCGCCCCCAGCCATCTCTGCCCGGTTATTTTTTCTCGCCTCGCACCCCCCCCCACCCCACACCATTTGCGCTGCCCTCACTCTGCTCAGAGCCTTGAAGTGCTCTTGCTGATATGAGCTCCAGTCGGCTTTTTGGTTTCCTTTGTGTTTGCCCATGTGCTTGTAGATGTCGGTTAATGACTCTGAGTCCTGTGCACATCCTCAGCCAGCCTGTGATTGGCTTATAGTGGCCCGGGGTCTTTCATGCTTGCCTGTGATTGGCTTATAGTGGCCCGGGGTCTTTCATGCTTGCCTGTGATTGGCNGGCTTATAGTGGCCCGGGGTCTTTCATGCTTGCCTGTGATTGGCTTATAGTGGCCCGGGGTCTTTCATGCTTGCCTGTGATTGGCTTATAGTGGCATGGGGTCTTTCACGCCTGCCTGTGCTTCGAGGATCTGTGCCTCTGTAGCCTGGGGCTATGACCCGTCCCCTTCCCCTTATTTTATGTCAGGACCACCAACACCTGGATACTGAATGTGTTTAGCGTTGGTGAACTTTGTGAATTTGTGAATTGTTCAACCATACATGGGGCATCATGGACCATGTGCCTTGGCTTAGGGTTGCATATTATCAGGCGGGGGCCTGGGGGCTTTGTGTTACAAGCAGGTTTGGGCCTGGGTTGCTGCTGGAAGAGGTGTTGGTGTGGCCAGCAGGGGGAGCACATCCTGTGGTCAGTGTGGATCCCAATACCTCAGTGCAGTGACGAGGACACTGTGCTGTAAAAATGGTTCTGTTCTTTGGATGAGACCTATAACTGAGGTCCTGACTCTCTGACGTCATAAATGATCCCTGGGCATCTTTCGAAAGAGTAGGGGTGGTACCCCGATGTCCTGGCTAAAATTGCCCTCTGTGGCCCTATCAAATCTGGCCTACCAGTCATCTCCCATATCTAATTGGTGAATTTTCCCCTGCCAATTCACCACCTCAGCTACTGTGTGGTGAGCGTACTGGTGCAGAATGCGTGCTGTTTTTCCAGGAGTACATTCCAGATTTTGGTCGTCTTCTGGAAAAAACAAATTCCATTGTGGGACATGCAATGTCCCTATCGATGTCCCTACCAAACAGACCTAAACAAACCTTTGGAACTGCCGTTGCTATGTGCAGTATTTTTGATCAATGACTGGGAGTCCAGTATTTTATGGGACTGAGGTGGCGATCTTGTCCCATGTTGAATCTTCAACATTGAAGTCATGTGTCTTCATTACTGTGTGTTTTAAGTAACAGTACATGTATACCATACACAGAAGGGTATTCTGGATAGTAGTACTTAATGTGAACATCGCTGCCATTAAAAGAAGCCCTGCGATGGACGGGGAGTCCCGGAATGTGTATATTGTGGATATAATGCACATAAAGCATGACAGGGCCGTAATTGGGCAGTAACGCACGGGTGAGTCGTTCCTGGCTGCTTCACTCCACGTCACTGGCTCTCTCGTTACTGCTGAGGTCTCGGCTACGTTTAAGGTGGCCTGTGCTGTACCGGTGTCCCCATCACTGGCTCGTCTCTGTTACACGGCAACCGAACACGGAACACGGGGAATTAGTGAAGCTATAGCTACAATTAGCATGACGACAGAGGACACGCTAATTAGCTACCAGTCCGGTGGCTCTCATGTAGCCTAATCCCGTTAAACTGAGAAATATAGTTTGTGTTTCTTCTGTAAAAAAAAAATTGGATGCACGTTAGTTGATTTAGTGTCCTTTCAAGCTTTATAAATAAGGCGATTATGCATCCAGCTACATTTATGGTATATTTTATTAGTAGCCAATAAAACGCTGCTGAAGGTTCTGTTCCCTGAAAACACCTGGAGCTTTCTGAGTATGAATTATTAGTGATGCACGTGTGAGACTGTCGAGCGTCCTGAGCACCGGGGTGAGGAAGACGCTGTCTGTTTGAGGTGTGCAGGTTCCGGGTTCGGTGTTCAGCATTTAGCAGCTTCCACAGCTTGATTAGCAGCTTTGCTCAGTGTAATAAGGTATGTTGAATCTGATTATTCTGGCTTGATGTCGGAACCTGTACTTGTCTAAGGGGAGTCTAATGGATGTTCAGAGTCTTTGGTGCAGGAAGAGAAAAGTCATCGCAATTTCCTGTTGAAGGACTTGTCATGGTATTGAGTTCGTTTTCCTTCCTTTTTTTGTTTAATTTTAACTTTGGTTGCACTGAGGCTATGGTGATCTGTTACCGTGGCTGCGAAGACGTACAGATGTAATGGCTCTGCGGCAGTTGGACTTGCTGACTGTCATTTTAATTTATAGGCTCTATGCTCTCTTACGAGATGCTACGAATCCGCAAAGCTGCCGGACGCGGCGGTCCTCGTCGCTGTTCGTGTCGCTGCATTTACCCCAGTGGGTTCACCATGTCCAGTCTCATGGCTCCTAGTCGGCCGATCGGCCGCGTTTGGCCATCTGGCCTCCCTTCATCAAACTGAAGCGCTTGGAGACAGGTGCCCTGGGGCAGGTGCTGTGATAAGGGGAGGGGAGGGGGGGGGACTCGTTTCTGCTCCACTGGAGGTGTGAGGAACATCAGCAGAAGAAATAAGTCGCGTCCACAGTACGCTCAAGTGGAAAAGTGGCGAACCACCCGGAAAAGCAGATAATTGCACGTTGTCGTGTTTTCATGGCGTTTTTGTGGAACTTGGAACCATGTCTGAATTTTTATGTGTACTGGGAATTTACATCATGAAGAAAAACCATTAAAATCATTTCACTACACGCATGTAAAGTGGATGTTTGTGTATGGGGACAAATAAAAACCAGAAACTGCATTAATCATAACAAAATTAAAATGCTTTTTTTAATTTGCAAACTTTCCATGTCCATGTTCTTAATTTCTGATCATATTTTTCCAAATCCTTCCTGATGGTAAGAGGTTTAGAGAACTTGAAGATTCTGAAAATACCTGAATCTGTATAAAAAAAAAATCCCTGCTCTTTCTGCAGATGCTAGTACTTGTTCTTACCAGCAGATGGCGATGTAAGGCTGCCCTCTGGTGCCCAGGGCTTTAAACTTTGTTGTTATTCAAAGCTTGTAGAAAGGCTTTAGCCGGAGGGAGGGTGAATCGCAGGTTTTACATTTTCATCGGAGGGTCTCGGGGGGGTTAAGCTTTTTCTAGGCTGCTGGAAATAATTGTCGTAATAATGATGACGGTAATAACAAGAAGAATCAAATCTTGGGCTTTGTGTGGATAAAACGGATTTGTTCTCATGTTTAATTATTTCATAATTCAGGTTGGGATAACATTAGGGGATGTACAAAGTACATAGCCTTTGGTACATATGCCTTCGACGTTTTTGTGTGTCAGTTTGACCCCCACCGAGGAATAAAACACTGAAATGAGTACTGCCTTCATAAGTCAATTACGATCGCCGTGCTCCCCTTTCCCTCACCTCTTTAAGTCTTTCTTTCCCATCATGCCTCTCTCACGCTCCCCTTCCGTTGTTGTCTCACTCAGGTACGCCGTCCCGCCAGAGCACGGCAAGCGACTGGAGAGACTGGCTCAAGGTAAAGTAGCTTCCCTCGCTGCCCGTCTTTCCCTGGTTTGTAACCCCCACTGCCCATGTCTCAGTTAAGCTTTTTGACTAGCTTTCCCTCCCCAGGTCGGGTGTCTCCTGTCCTGCCCTTCGGTTAATTCCTGGCCCAATCCTTTCTCCATTCACTCCGTGGCACCCAGCCGAACGGATACTTGTTCGCTGTGAATGGCAGCCGCAAGCCCACATTCTGAACACCCAATCCACGAGGTCTCCTGATTTCTACTGGGGCATGATCTGCATCCCTGGTCCCCCCTCCATCCCCATAGCACCCCCTCCTCTTGGCGCCTCTAATTCCAGGCTTCTACTCACCAGCTGTTGCTCTCGAAGGGAGTAGCGCCAAGTGAGAGCGTGCACACCGTACGAAAGTGTGCCTGACACCACGGAGTGGGACGGAGATGCAGGCGGGGGTGAAGCTGTGTGCCCCTTGCTGGCGGGTTTCCGTGTGAGCGGTCGGCCTGCCTGGAGCAGGGAAAGCATCATGCACACAGCACGCGCTCCCAGCAGCAGCGGCACGGAGCTGGGAAGGGGGAACGGAGCTGGGAAGGGGGAACAGAGCTGGGGAGGGGCCGCACGGAGCTGGGGAGGGGGAACGGAGCTGGGAAGGGGGAACGGAGCTGGGAAGGGGGAACGGAGCTGGGAAGGGGCCGTACGGAGCTGGGGAGGGGCCGCACGGAGCTGGGGAGGGGCCGCACGGAGCTGGGGAGGGGCCGCACGGAGCTGGGGAGGGGCCGCACGGAGCTGGGGAGGGGGAACGGCCTCTGGAATTCATAACTTAATAAGCGCGGTTTGTATGCGCGGGCAGGCGAGTGCCTCGGTGCCTCTTTAATGAACGCCCGCGCTGAGAGGGAACGGCGTCTCCATCGATCGCTTCTCGGGGAGAAAAAAAACAGCAAAATGCTTACCTAGAGACTGCTGGGGGGGGGTGTGTGGGCTGTGCAGTGGCTCTCTCTCACCCCCCCCCCCCCAATCAATGGAGATTATCTCGTCGTGTCACCCTGAGCTATGCTGAAATTGACTAAGGGGAGATGGTGGCAGGAGCGAATTTCCTTCAGAAAACAAAGCATACAAAGAGATCTGATTGCTTATTGGTGCGCAGAAAAGGCCTGTTTGACGAGGTATTTTCACGTAGGAGGTGTTGAGGATTAGAGCTGTAATGCATACTCATTAGTGGCCCCCCGCAACAGACTCTCAGCCGCTGTCGCACCTTCTGCTCGACTTCCCCTCTCCCATCCCGCCGTTTCCACGGAGATGCGGCTCGTGCCGCCCCCCCCCCCCCGCTTACGGGTGTTTATCATTCTGCCGGTGCGCGGCTGTCTCGTTTACACTGAGGCATTATTCCAGTTACAGCTATCCTTTTTGGGGGGGGAGTGTGTGTGTGGGGGGTTAATTTTGAATACAAAAGACAGAATTAAGTGCAAAGTTAATATCGCCGCAGGGAAAGCCGCGCGGCTCCAGCGGCATCTTAACGCTAATTAATAACGGCGCCCCTCCCCCGAGAGGTGCGCTCAGCATATTCCTCACCGTTATCAGCGGCATGCGGCATGTAGAGAGATTCCCGTCGAGATTCCCGTGGAGCGAGCCGCCCCGGAAGAGCGGCGAGGGGACGGACTCGGCGGCGGGAAGCACCCGCTGCGATCCGGCGCGGCATCCGCGGCCCTCGCCTTCCGGGGAAGGACGCCGATATCCCGCTTCTGCCTTTCAGATAGCGATCTGTTAAAGGCTTTCATGTATTTAAAGAGGCGATTCAGTGTTTTTTTTTTATCCCGCCCTTTTTTAATCTTTAATGAAGTATTGTTCCTCTCAGGCAGAGTAGAGGGCTTTGAGATGGATCACATGCAGAGTGGATTGGGGGGGGGGCTCGCTGCTCGAGGCCCATCACTACCCCCCCCAAAATTTATCCTAGTACCCCTTGGTATGATGAAAATCCCCAATAATTTACAGAGGTCCCCTCTCCTCGGGTCAGCAAATTTTACCCCCCCCCCCCCCCAGCTGTTAAACCCCTCCTTGGCCCTTGGTGGGGGTGGGTATGGTAACTGAAGGTGACTGGAGAGCTCCCTGCTGTCAGGATCAGAGTGTCGGCCTTGAACAGAACGGTACGGGGGCGGGGGGCAGGGTGGGGGGCAGGGCGGGGGTCTGGCTACACTACCTGTGGTTTGTTCATTGCTTTGTTTGTTTCTCTTGTGTAAAATGTCCCTAGACTGGAGACTTCAATAATAACGTTTGAATTGCCCCATTTGTCATTCACATTAGTGGTAGCAGCTAACACACTCTTACATGAGGCTCACTAGAGGAGATTAACACCACAGTTTATCCCTGTATTATCGCCTGCCAGTGAAGGCACCTGCTAGAGATGGCCCAGCCGTACATATTTCCCAGTGACACACATAATGGCTGCTTGCTGTAAACTGCCGCATGACGTCCAATCCTTTGATTTTTATGAATGCTTCGCTCAAAGTGAAGCTTGAACGTTTGCCATGTGCTGCACATGTGACCCAGAGTCCGGCGTTCAGGGGTCAAAGTCACTGAAGGGTTATGGTGGGTGATGCTCTGTTTGGGCTGATTCGCGCAGCGCCCCCTGGCTGCGGGAGGGAGAGCTCTCGGGCTCTGTGGGGATATTACATTGTTATTACATGCATGGTGACTGATGGTGTAATTCTGAAGGTGCAGCTGCTGAAATGAACGGATTCCAAGAGGCACCAGTGCTCTCTGAAATATTTAATATTTATATTACCCGGCTATTTTTTACGCACCCATATATGACACATTAATGATAAAGGGGTTCTAAAGCGATTCAGTATTGATACTCGCTGATAAATCTCACACTGCGTAGGCCTTTTTTTTTTTTAAATGTACTCGCTTGTATGCAAGAATATTACTTTTATTTTAATGTGCGTAGAGTCGTGAAATCCTTGTCATAAGGTGAATTGATGTCACTTAATAGCCCAAAGTGTGTGATTGTTTAACAGCGTCTATGTGTGTTTGTCCTGTGATGGACTGCAGTTGCTGGGATAGGCTTCTGGCTCACATGCCAACATGCTGGGTAAGCAGTTATGGAGGATGGGTGGATGGATGGATAATCTGACCAGGGTGTGTGACTGTGTGTGTCCTGTGATGGACTGCAGTTCCATGCCTGGTGTATCTCTACCTGGCGTCCCGTGACTTGGGTTCCGGGCCTTGCAGTAAATAACGAAGTGCGTTATTTAATGCATTTTGTGAGGTATTTAACAAGGAGCTTCATTATTTCATCTCGCGGTAAAGTGGGAAGGTGCAGTCTGTAGTAAATTTGCAGTGCAGGAGTTCCTGTTCGGTCCCGACGGCTTCTTGGTGCTCAGTGGCAGTGAGCAGGGCTTCCTGGCTGCAACCAGCGGAATTGGGACTACCTGTGACCTCCATTAATCCTTATTTATTTGTGGTTTTTCTTTAATGTGGAACCGCTAGTCCAAAGGCGGATACTCGAGTGAGAGAGAGAGAGAGAGAGAGAGAGAAGGATGACTGCAGCTCTGCCTCTGGCTGCTGGCATGAATGCAATATCTGCCTTCTGCGGTGTGCTGCACGTGTGCAGTGTGTGTGCTGCACGTGTGCAGTGTGTGTGCTGCACGTGTGCAGTGTGTGTGCTGCACGTGTGCAGTGTGTGTACATTTTATATAATGTCTAGCATTTAATCCCTGGGGGAAAGCCTCTAATTTACAGCTTCAAGAATTTTAATTAGTTTTCCTTTGGCAGGTGAAGGAGGATAAAGTGTTGTAACTGTAATGATAATTATACACCTGCTATAATTGTTTAATTATATAATTTTTTAATTACGAAGACCATTGTAGGATTTTATTTTTTTGATGCTTTGTTATTCTAGCATGGGCTACTTAGCAGTCACACTGAACATGCTTCAGACTGCCTGAGCTGGACTGCTATAGAAATCAATTTTTAATTGTTGAAAAGGTTTTATTTGTGATGCTGCAGTTCTTGGAATCGTGGCTTCTTTTTCAGAAGGAGTATTTTATGTGAGCTTTGAACTTATTACCTTAATTGAATTGGTTTTATTACAAGTGTAGTGACTTAACATTGCCGTCACACTGCTGTGATAGGTTAAGAGTTTTTTGTTAATTATCTGCAATATAACAAACATTTCTTTTGACTTTCTCACAAAGAACAATTTATTCAAAGAGCAACGCTGCTTTCCGTACTGGATTTCCACACTTCATTTTTGTTGAATGATGTGTTTTGATTGAGGAGTCTTTAGCTGGGTTAGTAGACAGTAAAATTTGATATTCTTCTCAGTTACTGTCAGATTACCAGTGCAGGGCTTTATATCGCGTGGCACGAGTTGTTCATGTTGTATATTCTGATTGGCAGTCATTATTGCGAATGGACTTGTTTTTCCTCTGGTTTGCTCGTGAAAGCCTGAGCCGTTCCTGTCGTTTTGTTTGCCCGTTGCCGTGCCTGGTACCTGTATCCCGTTGACACGAGTAACGCTTATGCCTCCGAACATAGCTGTAGGTAGTTTTATTGGGTCTTTATGGAATTCCTTAATGTCGCCCAGTCGTCCATTTCTTCTCCTGCTTCTGTCTCCTGGTGGCGTGTTGGTTGTAATTTCCCTCCCTCCCCCATTTTCTAGGCTTCTTCCCAGGCAGTTCGCAAGGCTGTGATGCTTTCCTTCGGCACAAGATGACCCTGATCTCCCCGTCTATCCTGAAGAAGTACAGCATCCCCTTCGATAGGGTAGGTTTTCGTGCTGGCTGTAGGGGGTCACGTGCTAACCATAACCAGTTTAGTGTTTAACGTCTAATTCAGCGCTGTCACACTCGCGAGGTGCGTGCCGTTCCAGCTCCTAGTGACAGTAACACTTGAAGAATCAATAACATGTATGTGTAAATGTGAGCATCTGATGTGTATAATCTCCCCCTATTTCACATTTATATTGATGAAATGATTCAGGATAAATTATACTTCTATAGTAGTGCTTCCCAGCCTGGGCCTCAGTTGGTCCACATTTCTCCTCCCAGCTCCCTGCCAGACAGTCCAGTTCCCAGCTCTGGGAGGGAACAAAACCCTGGACTCTCTGTGGGTCCCTGAGGACCGGATAGGAAACACTGTTCTATACAATACAATAGAACAGTGATGCTTCATGGTCCCCATCTTACTCTACAAGCTTGGGGGTTAGCTAGAGTGCAGGGCTCCTGGAGCTGGGGGTTTAGGGCCGCACTCAGGGGCCCAAGAGCTACATTAATCTGCTGGCCCCGGGATTCGAACCCGTGACCTTCCAATCATAACCTGTTGCACTGCATTCTGCTCCCTAATATTTGTCCCTATTATGTACAGACACTCCTCTATTTCCGAACTTTCAACTTCCGAACTTTCAGACATACGAACGAAGAGAACTGTAAGTCCAAATTGTGTTCCTTGGGCTTCGGTTTCCTGTCCACAACATCAATTTTTTTTTTGTGTGTTAATTCTGGCTAGTACGACTTCTGGCCACTACTCCCACCACGCAGCAGCGTAGCCTGCGTACTCCCAGCATCCAAGTTCTTTGTACTTATATATACCCTTAAAATGATGTTGAGTAACGACTTACGAACATTTCAAGTTACGAACGGCCGTTCGGAACGTAACTCATTCGTAAGAAGAGGAGCGTCTGTAGAGACAAATAAAACTTGCACCTTGATATACGGAATGTCTAGTTTGTATGTGTGCATATTTGTTTTAGTCTTGTCGCTACTGTTATGCTTGATATTTTGTTTTTTTCTAATGGTTTACGTGCTGCAGTGAGAGATGAATGTGCAAAACGGTGGAGGCCCCTGTTTTCATAGCTGCCCGAGGCTTCGCGGATTCCTGATTCCTGCCGTACAGATTGCACCATGCATCTCACAGTGAAGTTGCAATTGGCTTTATTGCAAATTTTGATTTGGATTTAATCTTGTTAATTTTTCCTCACCTCCCTTGGGGATAGTTCCTATTGTAAATGATTGAACTGCTTGTGGTATTTGAGGATTAAAAGTGAATATAATCTGTTTATGGGAGACAAATGAAATTCCTTATTCTGAGCATTTGCTTGTGTAAGTCAAATTTAATGTGACTCTTTTGTCTCTCTGTGTTGTGTGCAGTTGAAGCAGATTCCCCTCAGTGGAAATCAGTAATAACTGGTTTGTTCTTTGCTTTAATTAAAAAAGACACACGGTTAAGATAGAAGGTGCTTCACACTCACGCTCTGGCACATCTGTCTGCCTTAAACTGCTGCTCAGTTTAACGGGATGATCTCTCCGGCCTCGTAAGTCCCGCAGGCGGCCGGTGATGAGCTGAAATGGAGCCACTGCGACTTTGACTCGGAATGCCCACTTTCAGCTTCAGGACTCGACGCCAAGGGAGAAAATGGCTGTGTAACGTTCGCTCAGAGATTCGGAACACGGCCTCCGGTCGGCTTTAGTTTCACATAATGACTGATAACGCTGCGGATTATGAGACTGTATTCACTGTAAAACGGAGGCAGCGCTAACAGCTAATGGTAGCATCTGGTCTTTAAGTCAAGTTGTACGTTAAAAGTGCGGAGAGTGATATCTATCACTCTTTACCCACTGGGTTTCTGGGTGGGGGGCGGGGGGCAAATAGTAATTTTCATTAACTTGTTTCCTAATGGATCCAAACAAACTGCTGGGCTGTGATTCATCCGTCTCTGTATGAGATGGATAAATCGGGGAGGCGTTCATTAGCGAGGACCAGCCCGTCCCTGCCTGCCGTGCTCTCGGGCATCTCCATAATTGCACTCGTCCCGCTGCTCCTGCGTCCTCCGTAGCCCTGGCGAAGGGTCTGACCAAGCCTTGCTTCTCCCCCGATCTTAATGAGGCTGGACGTGAAGGTCCCGATTGGCTGTGTTTGCTGCCTGTGGCTGGCCCACTGGGGAGCCACTGTGATCTGTTTTTGTCACGTCCCCTCATCTGCATCAAAGCATGTTTTTATTTCACTTTTAGGCATAATTTGCAACTTAATTTACCAGATTAGGGTGCCCCCGGTGGCAGGCCTGTGTAATGACGCGCTTCACTGTGGGCTCGTTATGGATTTAACGGTTTGACTGCCGTGCCCCTTGCGGCTGTATGATTAAAACAGGGCTTTATTGCAGCGCATAGAGAGAGAAAATGTCGCCATTAAATAAGCCGTAGGGAGGCAGGTGCCGTTCTGCTCCGCCATCCCTTCCCCTTCTCCTCCCTGATTGGTCGCAGGTGCCTGCATCTCGAACCCTCTCCCCTCATTGGTGCAGGTCACGCAGGAGGCGGGAGACTTCATGATCACCTTCCCCTATGGCTACCACGCCGGCTTCAACCACGGCTTCAACTGCGCAGAGTCCACCAACTTCGCCACGCTGCGCTGGATCGATTACGGCAAGATGGCCACACTGGTCAGCAGACGGTTTGTCCCGAGCACTCACCCAGTGCCAGATGGGGAATGAATCCACAGGGAAATGCAAAATATTCTTTTAAAATAATGACCCCAGTAGTCTGCCTTAGCACATACATACCAGCCATCGATCAACCGCTTGTCCTGCTTGGTCACCTCAGGATATACCTGCCCACCATATGTCACACAGTCATACTATCCATCCATCCATCCATCCATCCATCTATGGTCTAACTGTGTAAGCTGGACAGGGTTTTAGCACACTGCACCTTTTTTTTTGTTAACCTTAATTTTAAATTTAAATGAATGTTTCTAGAATACTATGTAGTGTGTTATGTAGGTTTAAGCAGCTGTACTGCATGAATCATCTTCAGGCTTGAATGTTTGCCGGGCTGCTCCTGGTTCTCGGTATAAGGAGCATGCAGGGAGAGCGTGGCTGCCGCTGCTTGAGTTGTGGTGCCGGCGAGCGTGAAATTCCGGAACAAAGGCGAGTGTGGGGAAGCTCCTGGTCCGCCGCGGCGTTCTCTGTCAGCTCTTCCTCTTTTCTCCACAGTTTGCCTGTTTCTCCAGCTTTGCTTTCTCTCTGGATGATTTGCACGCTTTTTTGACGGCTCTCTCCCAGGAACAGGCCCGTAGCCAGAAATTAATTTCGTGGGGGGCTCTGGGAGGTGATGCACCGATTTTCAGCGAATTTCGAGGAAGTTTCAAACTGGTTTTATCATTTGCTCCTGCAGCATGACGCTGGCTTGCCAAGGCAGCCTGGGGTGCTCTCCTGTATCTAGATCAGGGCTCTTCAAACCTGGCCCTCCATTCTGAATCCAGGCCGTGTTTTCAGTTCCCCCAGGTAGCTAGTTTAATGATTAGTGATTCTGATTGGCCAAAGGCTTCACACCTGGCTCACGGGTAAAGGGAAGCTGGAAAACCAGCAGGGCTCGGACCTTGAGGACCGTGATTTGAATGGCCTTGATCTAGATTAATTGGTTCCCCTCTCCGGCCAAAATGAACAGGAATGTTTAGAGCAGGATCTAGAGCAGGGGTGTCAAACTCCAGTCCTGGGGGGCCGGAGCCCTGTGTAGCTTAATTCTTTCCCTGTTCCACTACAAATAATTCAGCTCAAGAACTGTGTGGTAATTAGCACAATAATTTGAATCAGGTTTGTTAAATGAGGGGAAACAAAAACTGCAGGGCTCCGGCCCCCCAGGACTGGAGTTTGACACCCCTGATCTAGAGGAAGCATGTAAATCTCGGGGTTCACTCATCCCTCTTCCTCTTGACTTCCTGTAGTCCTGGATCTATCCCGCTCTTTTTTCTCTTTCCTCATTCTCTGCGTTCCAGCCTGACAGTGGGATGGGTCTTTAGCCTGTCTGATTGTTATGGCCCCACAATCGCTGTTAGACTTGGAGATCGGAGGTCATGGGATGAGTGCTGAGTGGTCGCGGCTGGCATCGCGTAGCCTTGTACTGTCATTGACCCTGTCACAGTGAGGCGTCACCGTCCTCACTCTGGTGGTGTACAGGTCTGAGCTGAAGTATAAGACCACCATGATGCATTGTGGGACATTTTTCAGCATGAGAGCAGCGCTGAGTGAAATTCAGACATTCCCTCACATGTATGCATTCCAGAGTCATACTTATTTGCATGATGTGTGTTACGACTGGGTGATATAAATGATATATTGACTTATCATATAAATTTAAAACGATAAGAAAATGAGAAACTTTGATAAACTGTTGATAAGGAACAGTAGCATGCATCAGCCAATCACATCACTGAAATGAACGAAAGTCTAACCAATCATATGACAACCTACGCCCGACGGACACACAGCAAGGTTGACTGAGTTAGCGGAGCATGCAACATACTGTAGATTTCAGTTCATTCAGCTTCTTTCCTTTTCTATGATCTGAATCTGTTTTAGGGGAATCTTAAGGGAATTTTAAGCAAAAATTGCACCTTTTAGTAAAGACATAATTTCAATTATATTGTGGTAATTAGTGAAATTAACTGATGAAAAAAATTATTGTGATAAAATATTTTATATCACCATATATAAAATGTCTGTCCGTGCCTCGCCCTGTCCCGCCTCGTCTGTCCGTGCCTCGCCCTGTCCCGCCTCGTCTGTCCGTGCCTCGCCCTGTCCCGCCTCGTCTGCCCGTGCCTCGCCCTGTCCCGCCTCGTCTGCCCGTGCCCCGCCCTGTCCCGCCTCGTCTGCCCGTGCCCCGCCCTGTCCCGCCTCGTCTGCCCGTGCCCCGCCCTGCCCCGCCTCGTCTGCCCGTGCCCCGCCCTGCCGTCTGCCCGTGCCCCGCCCTGTCGTCTGCCCGTGCCCCACCCTGTCCCACCTTGTCTGCCCTTACCTCGCCCTGTCGTCTGCCTGTGCCCCGGCCTGTCGTCTGCCCGTGCCCCGGCCTGTCCCGCCTCGTCTGCCCGTGCCTCACCCTGTCGTCTGCCCGTGCCTCACCCTGTCGTCTGCCCGTGCCTCGCCCTGTCCCGCCTTGTCTGCCCTTACCTCGCCCTGTCGTCTGCCTGTGCCCCAGCCTGTTCCGCCTCGTCTGCCTTCTCCCCGTGTCACTCCCTGTCTTGTACTTCTCCCCTGGCATCTTTATCCACCCTTCTTAGTGCCTCAGTGCTTGCAGAAGCTACCTACAGAGCCTCGCCAGGGATATCGTGATGGGACATTAAGGAAGCTTCACCTTGAGACTGAAACAGAGCCCCGACTTTAAAAGGCGCCTCGCTAGACCCTGCCGGGAAGGGGGCCACCGGAGCAGCCGCGCGACCCAGCCTGCTTAATGCTCCGCCGTGTTCCCTGTGCCTGCTCTCTGACAGCTGCTGCTTATGTGTAGGAGGGCTGGTTTAAGCGATACACCTCCGTGGCAGGAATAACAGCGGCACTGCTGCTTTGAAACAGCATGAGAGATGCGCGCTCTGTCTGCGCAGAGCACAGCGGCTGCTCCTGCCCCGGACTGCGCTCCGTTTCATTCCTGTTTCTTTTTTTAGCGCCTTCTGTTCAAATGTCACTGTAATACCGCAAAACATTGATTGCCTTGTTGTCTCACTCTGGTGGGAAACAGAAAGGCGGAGAGCCGGGGCTTCGGCTGTCTCGGATGCCCTTTCTTGTGTCAGAAAGAAAGTTTGCTCTGAAGAGCCAGACGTGTGCGCTTCTGGTAAACTCACGAGTGTGGCTTCTGCTGCTGGGAAGGCACGGCGGGCTAGTTAGCGCTGCTGTACGGTAACCTCCTCAAACACACCTTTATCTGCCATTCAATAGGATATGGTTGGCAGGGCCTCTAAGCTCCCTATGAGCACTTATATAGTTTAGCATCCATTTTCTTTAAACTGTTTGTTCATATAATGGAACGCGGTTCTCTTTTTAATCAGTGAAGTACAGAGTCAATTACATTAAAACGCTACAATCATTTGAATTGGCAGGCTTTGGTCCTAACGATGGCACTCATTAGTGAAGTATCTGTAACCATGGCTATGGATTCATCCCCCGACGGTGTGACGCACACGGACACATGTCCGCATGTTGGCTGACCGCCACGTGTCGGCCATCGTTCTCTGAGGTGGAAAGACGTCAAGGTGGCGGTCGTATCCGGTCGTATCCGGGGCGCGGAGCTGATTGGGCTACGGCTCAGCATCCAGAGCCTCTTCTTGCTTCCATATATAAAATGGGGCGAAAACGTAAAGGTTTCTTGGCTCATTATTTTGGAAAAAAACAAGGTCACTCTGAGTGATTTCTCAGGTATCTCGTTATGATGACCTGAGTATCATCTTTCATGTGGAGCCTGTAGCCCTGTACTTTGCAGGAAGAATTGTAGAGCTGTTGGGCTCATTGGGTTGGGTCTTCTGGTTTGGACTGAAATTCTCCGCATCATACTGGATGCTGTAATGTGTAGTTATTGCTTAAACCCTGAGCAGGTGAACAGTCTTCCTACCGAGTGTGTGGAAAGGTACCATTCCTGTGAGTCGTGTCATTTGCCATCTGTGACCAGGAATTCCGAAGCAGCAAAATGTAACAGATATGACCTGAGGGAGGGAAAAAGCATTTGACCTGACTGGGGAATCTCAGCTGGCTGCCGCATCAGCGCCCCCTACAGGCTTACCTGCACATTTCTGATTGAAACCCTTCAAAGCTCATAGTTTCTCTTGCATGGTGTCTTTGGGCCCCTGATAATTAAAAAAAAATATATATATTTTAAAATATTTGCTGGAAATTTAGCTCCTCTCCAAGTAAGTATACCAAACGCTTAAACATTAAAAGAAGTTTGCTCTGAGCAAACTGACATGTGAGTCTATAGAAAATAAAGAGCTCATTGTTCCGACGAGGCCGTGCACAGGAAGCTGCTCTCTCTCTCCACGTTTCCCCCTTTTGTCTTCTCCGCGTTGGCCAGCAATACACAGGATGCCTCCTCGTCTCTCCTGGATGGGCCACTAAAATGACGTGTTGATATTGCCTTGCGGTGTCCTGCGCTTGTTGTGTTCCGTTATTTTCTCACGCGGCGCCCCCCTCCTCCTCCTCCTCGCACCCGGACCGCGCTCACCCCGTCTGCCTCTGCCCATCGCTGAAGAATGTTCTCTGTAATTGAACACAAGGCCCTCAGCGCAGTTCAGGAAATAAAGCAGAAATGTAATAACTCACCCGGGTCGCGAAGAAAATTAGTTTTACTTTCCCCTCTTTCTTCCCCTTCGATCTGCAGAGTTTTGGCCATTAAGTCCTGCATTTTGAAACACATCGTTACTAAAAGGATCACAGGGAAATGGCTGAACTGAAGTTCCTTCAGCTTAGGCACCGTTACCGGGCATCAATTCTACTTTTGCACTCTCTGGATACATATTGCTACCATGTGTGTGATACACTTTCATTTACATCAACAGAAATAAAGAAATTTAAAAATATTAAAATTCTTAACGTCTTACACTTGTAATGAAATCGTATCCCACTGCTTAAAGCCCATAGTGTCCGTCTGAAGTGTCACTGTTACCTTTTGATTTTTGAACATGCTGCCTGAATGGGGCATGTCTGTTCAATTTAGTCGCAGTAATTGGGGTCATATCCCATTTTAAAGGAGTGTTCTGCTACGCAGATTGAAGGCGTTTAGCAATCTTGTCATCATTTCGCCGGTAAGATTGTTCATTATTTTTTTCCAGCTCGTTTTAGTTTCTCTGCCCTCATGAGTTCGGCGATGAAATGCCGCAGATGTGATGATGGCTGCATCTGTGTCGTCTTTGCTGCATTTGCAAAACAGCTGTAATGTACAGAGTGCCAGATTGCATATTAACTGGTACAATAGACGATTGATTCTATCTTTATGTAGTTTTTGATGTGTATAATTGTTTTGAAAGTATGGAAAAAGTAAAAAAAAAACAACAACTTATTTTATTATTTATTAAACTTTATTTTGGAGTGTGTGTTAGGGACTTTAAGTCAAGCAAACTCATTTTGGGGCTTTTCTGGCATCCCTGCCTCTTGTCCTTCCTGGAATAGACCCCTGTCTCCCAGCAACCCTGCCTTGAAGAAGCACTTTGAAATTGGATGTACGGATGGATGGATAGATCTGGGATGAGCTTGTTTATTTTAGCCTTTGAATTGAACCTGTTTAGTAAACAGTCACTGTCTAACTTCAGGTTCAGTATTGCGTGGTTTCCTTTTTCGGACATGAGCCTCTTCCCTTGATGGCTGATTTTGATCCTGGCTGTTGTCCTCCTTGCCTCCCAGTTTGCCGTTTACTTTCTGTGTTTCTCTCCCGTGTCTCCACAGTGCTCCTGCCGCAGGGACATGGTGAAGATCTCCATGGACGTATTCGTGCGCCGCCTGCAACCAGAGCGCTACGAGCAGTGGAAGCAGGGCAAAGAGGTGACCGTGCTGGACCACCTGAAGCCCACCATCGTCAGCAGCCCTGAGCTGGAGCTGTGGAGGGAGAAACGGGTCACGTATCGGGACCGACTGCTGCAGAGGTGAGGCCCCCTGCACCCGATATGGCTCTTAGCTCTGCAAAAGAAAGGGTGACGCTTCAGGTTTATGGGTCACAAATGCAGCAGTGGGTCTGCTCTTTTTCATGTGGTAGTTACACTTCAGATATTGTATTATACGTAAATAACTACTCTCCCACATTTACAGTATGCCTATCTTTTGACAAGACTTACAGACGGAACAGAATTTATGCTGGTAACTGATCAAAGATGCTCTCAGATAAAGAATCACAGGTACCTTTGGTACAAAGGCTTTTCATTTAGTGCGACAATGAGTCTTCAGATCTCTTGGAAGCGGCACTGAAATCTGAGGGCTGCCTGCTCTCTACAGATGATGGTTCGCAGGACCTGACTTCTGCCCCAGTGCATCAGCCAGCTCTGCAGTGGTTATATGTTTAGTGTCAGCTGCAGAATGCACTGCACAGTAAGCTGCAGGGATTTGGTCATGCTTACTGCAGGTACCAGTAGGACAGAGGTATCAGAATCAGACTTTTTCTGGAAAACTCCTGGTTGAAGGAAGGTTTGGACACGTAGCAAAGACACATGAGCGTAGAACATGTTTTAGAAACATTTGTAAAAATAGGATTTCTTATGACTACATGAATGATTTGGTTGCAGAAGTGATAGTGATTATGAGCTATACCGAACGGTGCTTTTACAAGAATGATTTGTGCCTTAATTTGCTTCGATGGCAGGGTTAAAGGTAACCTTTTATTAACTGTACTAGGAGATCTTCGTGAATGACATTGTTCCTGTGGAGCACGTGTGGTCCTGCACAGATAGATCAGCGTGACTCCGAGGTCACCCTTTTGCCAGAGTCTTTCCGATTCGAACCTGGCAGAGCGTTTGCGGAACATTATTTTTTGTTGCCTCTCTCTTCTGAGGTTATGGGTTTAACTCTGGCTCTGTGTGTGCGCGTCATCCCAGGCTTCCCCAAGGCAAATCAGGGGTGTAATTTGCACTTAGCATGTGTCTGCGTGGGGCTGCCTAGCTGCAGGCTATGCGTGCGCCTGCCTTCGTGCAGATCCTAACCGGCTCACCTTTGAGTGCATAGCTGATGCGTTTGCCTGATTAGGATGGATGCCCGTGTCTATTAAAATCCAGCTCGATGCCAACCGAAGACAAACTGGGAACATATCACTAAAACTTAATTAGGTTTTCTATGGTTTTTAGGCGGGATAATTTATCAGCAGGATGAGCCAAAGGTACTAGCCCCAAATTAATTAGAGTCGGGCTGTATCTGTCAGAGAGCCGCCCGCATAGCTATTTCAAGGAGGAAACGTTTGCTCAGGACCCGAGTCTGAGAGCTCCAGCATGCTGTTCTGTATTAATTCGATTCTTTCTTTTTATGACACCCTCCCCTGCACGTGTTCCCACCCTCCCCTGATTACGCGTTCCGCTAATTTGCATAAGTGAAGATAAAGAGCGGATGAGTCAATATTTTCAGTTCCGAACGCCGTCCTCTGGCTCACGCGAATGTAACTTTGGGAACGGCGCGGATGAAATGTGCCCGGCGTGAACGCTGTGTTCTTGGACTTCGGAGATCTCTCTGTTGCTTAATTTATTTTTTTTGGCTGTGAGTGTTTCTGAGGAATGTTCTGGGAAGGCGGGTGGTGGTGTCAGAGGGCGATGCTTGGGATGGGAGGTGGGAGCGGGGCAGAGGACCAGAAGCCCACTGTCCCTGAATCTTGCTTTGGCCTTTGTGTGTAACGGGAATGCGCCCATGCTACTGAATACTGCACACAGCCCTATCCACTGCTCCCAACACGCAGCATAAATATGACTCCTGTATCATTTAGAGGTCACTGTTAGGTTAAAGAGCTTTGCTGTTCTAGGACTGCGTGCTTCATGCATGTATTTAATATGTAATGTTGTGTGGAACTCGTGTACCCATGTTTCACAGTGAAACAGCAGATTATATAAAGCTATAGGGTCACATAAACATGGCTATAAATATTTATCAAGAGGCATAACACATTATAGTTTATACCTTTATAATGCAGTACAAAGCATCCATAATGCTTATACCAACCATTATAATGCATCATAAAGGTAGCTATGGTGTATTATAGATCACAGCTTCATAAGGCAGTCATAATGCATAATAAACGTGGCTAATGTGTTATGGCTTTTTATAAACATTTATAATGCTGTATGAATGCATTATTATTTGTTATGAATGTGTTCATAAATGGCTGAAACCATGGCCTTAAGTAAAGAGTTACCAGCTATAGTGTCAGTGACTGCAGAGAGGAACATGCAGCGGTTTGTCACATGGCGAGGTGCTTAGTGAGTGGCCTTCCTACCTCAGCTTATCGTAGAGGCAGTCAGCCGTGAGGATGGTGAAGCCTTCGCTTGGAGGGAATACATCTGGTGCACTGGATGGAGGCAGTCAGCCACAGCGAAGGACGTACCCTTGACTTAAAGACCAGAAACTCGGAGCGCTACGCAAACAAAATTAACTTGTGACCTCTTCATTTGCATGCAGAGAATGAACGTAGAAATAGCAAACTGCTGGTTCATGTCCACTTCTGAAACTCTGGGACCCAAGACTTTGTGTATAAAACCGCGTCGAAGGTGTCGGGCGAGAGGGCGAGAGGGCGTGAGCCTGTGCGATCACGATCACGTCGGCCCCGTAGCAAGTCACACCTCCTCTCGGGGCAGGGCTCTGCAAAAGAAGAAGCACCTCCGGAGGCTGAGACCAGAGGAGCTGAAGGTGCTGATGGAGGCGGGCGTTGAGCTGGACCTGCCGGAGTATCAGCGACAGGTGGAAGAGAAGGAGGTGGAGAGGCGGAAGGAGAGGGAGGAGAAGATGGCGCGAGAGGCCCTGAGGACGCTGGAGGCCCTCGAGAGGGAGGAGCAGAGGCAGGCGTTGGCCATGGCTGCAGGAGAAGGTAGAATCACAGAGGATGGAAGTGGTCAGTGATTCTGTTTTTCTCCCCATTTGTGTTTGGTATCCCTGATCTTAACTCTGTGGTGTTCGGTTCTCAGGTCTGGACGTTGAGACGGACCCGCAGCAGCTGGCATCAACTGGTGAGAAGAAGAAGAGGAAGAAGAAGAAGAAGAAGAAGCTGGTGGATGGAGGCGAAGATTCAAGCAAGACGCTGGTGGTGTCAATGGCTGCAGGAGGGCATGAGGATCTCATCATCCCCACTCTGTTCGTCACCACTAAGGCCAAGATGGATCCGGCGCCCAAGGGGAACCTGTCCTTCCAGGAGGCCTTCGAACAGTTCGCCACCTGCAGGATGAGTGAGGGTCCGAGTGCCCAGGGCAGTGACACCGAGGTGCCAGCAGAGGGAAAGGCTGAGAAGAGTAAGGTAAAAGCTTCATAGACCTTCTGCAGGATGACGTCAGGTACCTGTACAGTATATGCTCTGAACAAACCTGAAAGTTAAGGCAGGCAGCCTTTGGCTGTGCTGATCCATGGCTCCTCTGTCATTAGCGTGTTCTGTCTACATCTTGCCATGTTACCTGGATGTACTCAATACCTTTATCAGAATGAGGCACAGCTCTATGAAACGATGTGGTGTTTAGTCTCTTACCTTTAACCTATTCCAGCCCTCCAGGTTCAATTCAGGACAAATAACTTTCTTTGGAGCTGAAAAAAATATTGAATAGGTTTATTTTCTACATTGTCCTGGTGGATCAAAGTAGAATCTGAGTAGTCGTTGAGTCCCGTGTTGAGTCCCGTGTTCCCTGAGCCCCATATTGAGTCCCATGTTCCCCGAGCCCCGTATTGAGCCCCGTTTTGAGTTCCGTGTTGAGTTCCGTGTTCCCAAAGCCCCGTATTGAGTCCCCTGTTCCCCGAGCCCCATATTGAGCCCCGTATTCCCTGAGTTCCGTGTTGAGCCCCGTATTGAGTCCCATGTTCCCTGAGATCCGTGTTGAGCCCCGTGTTCCCCGAGCCCCGTATTGAGTCCCATGTTCCCCCGAGCCCTGTGTTGAGTCCCGTGTTGAGTCCCCTGTTCCCCGAGCCCCATATTGAGCCCCATGTTCCCTGAGCCCTGTATTGAGCCCCGTATTCCCTGAGTTCCGTGTTGAGCCCCGTATTGAGTCCCGTGTTCCCTGAGTTCCGTGTTGAGCCCCGTATTGAGCCCCGTGTTCCCTGAGTTCCGTGTTAATCCCCGTATTGAGTCCCGTGTTCCCTGAGATCCGTGTTGAGCTCCATATTGAGTTCCGTGTTCCCCGAGCCCCGTATTGAGCCCCTTATTGAGTCCCATGTTCCCCGAGTCCCGTGTTGAGTCCCGTGTTCCCCAAGCCCCGTATTGAGTCCCGGATTGAGTCCCATGTTCCCTGAGATCCGTGTTGAGCTCCGTGTTCCCCGAGCTCCGTATTGAGTCCCATGTTCCCCGAGCCCCGTGTTGAGTCCCATGTTCCCCGAGCCCCGTGTTGAGTCCCGTGTTGAGTCCCGTGTTGAGTCCCGTGTTGAGTCCCGTGTTCCCTGAGCCCCGAATTGAGCCCTGTGTTCCCTGTATTGACTTTTGCTGTGTTTTCCGGTTAGTGACCGTGTGCCGATGTTGCTCTTTATAGCCGATTGCCTCATCCTACACGAAGATGAAGATGGGAATGGAGGTGAAGAAGAGTCGTAGGCACCCCTTTGGGAAGCCTCCCATGCGCTCTCCTCTGTCCATCGTCAAGCAGGAGCCCTCCAGCGACGAAGGTAGACCAGCTGCTATTAATGTTCTGTTAGCGCCTTGCTGTGTCTTTTATATGTAACATTTTAATACAATATAAAATTATTATAGTGGCTCATATGGGCCCGTATGGTGGCCTGACACATTCAGAGCTGCCCATGGTCTGTGAGAGTGTGGGTGTAGGGCTGTAGGCACGGCCTGCGATCAACTGACGTCCTGTGCAGGATGGGGGGGTAGGGGGTGAATGGATGTAATGGCTCGTATGTGTGTTTGAATACATGTGCACCCGCATCATATATACATTTTATGGACCAAAGTATTGTGGCTACTGTCCATTACACCCACAGGAAATTCTATAAAATCCCATTTGCATCAACATGGAGCTGCCCCCCCCCCCATTTGCAGATATAACAGCTTCCACTCTTCTGGAAAGATTTTACACCCGATTTAGGAGTGTGTCTGTGGGAATTGTTGCCCATTCATCCAGAAGAACATTTGTGAGGTCAGGCATTGATGTTGGACCTGAAGGCCTGGCTCACAATCTCCATTCTAGTTCATCCCAAAGGTTCGGTGGGGTTGAGGTCAGGGCTCTGCGGGGGGCCAGTCAAGTTCTTTCACACCAAATTCACCCAACCATGTCTTTATGGACCTTGCTTTTCCATATCGATGCTTTTGGATTTAGAATGGGATGTCATAAAAGTTCCTGTGGGTGTAATGGCCTGGTGTCCCAGTTCTTTTGTCCATATAGTATATGTGCACCCCAATGGCAAGGCAAAGTAAAGCAGCGATAAGTACCTCAGTGCTTACAGTGGTTATGTGTTCCTTCATAATTCATCAGTTTTTAAGCATTTTTTTTTTTTGTAAAACCAGTCCCACAAACGGTTCCACGAAGGAATACTGTTGCTTGGTTGTCCTATACCCATAATCCTGCCTGGCAGTGCTGAGCCTTGTTTAAATTTTTAAACAGGTACATATGTGCCTTGGCTCCTCTGTCACACTCCTTTCTTCTGCTCTTCTTCTCTCTCTCTGATCCCTCTTTTCTATGGATGATTTACTGCAGCTGACACTTATTGATCTGAGGGATTATGACTCCAATTACCTGCTTACAGTGTCTCTTCTGGCTGGTATCAGCAAACGATTGTCAGGCCTGTGCCTCCTTGGGGGGGGGTCAGTGGATGGAGGGAATCATTAGACAGTGTGGATGACAAACTGTGGAATGTCTTTGTGACCCCTCAGCACCCCAGCTGTTACCACACGGCTCGTGCGGGATTTTTTTGGTGTGTGACTGCGATGGTTTGTTTATCTGTCCAGTCCTTACTCTTGCCCCTCTGCTCTGCTGCCCCTCAGAGCTGCATTCACCCCTGCCAGTAGAGGGCGACACTGGTCAAGAGATGAAGAAGGGCCTGTGGCCCCTGTGGCAGAACCACTTGCCTGACTTTGTGGCGGAGCGCCGGTACAACGCGGCTGTGGCATCCCTGCACCCTTTCTGTGCCGTCTGCACGCTGTTTTCGCCCTACACACAAGTAAGGCGAGGAAAAGGAACACTCGCTCTTTCATGCAGACAAATATGTGCGTTTTGTCTACTCTGGTTATCTTAACTCTGATGATCTTAATAATGCCTGTTGGTTTATCCTGGTTTTTGTTACATCAGCGGAGGTGGAAAGTTCAGGTCCAGAGAGTAGAAATCCAGACCAAGATTTTATTTCAACCAACCAATTGAGCATAAAGGGTCACAGTCACTTCTTGGTCTGGATTTGTACTTTCTGGACAGTTGGTCTGCAGATTTTCATGTAACATCACGCCAAAGTCAAACGTGCAGCATGTTATTTCCTGAGAGGACTGACAAGAAGCTCCGTTATTTGATCTGGTTTTGTAGCGCTTCCAGCTGCCTTGCGTGTTCATTAGTGAAAGAAGTTGAGCCTGTATCATAGTGTATCCCCCCCCCCCCTTCTGCCTGTGACAGCCCCAGAAGGAGCCTGCCCCCCCGGCCGGGGGCCCCACCAGCCCTGCTGTCAGCTGCACCCGTCCGCTCATCCCCGAGATGTGCTTCAGCTCGGGGGCCGATAACACGGAACTGCTGCCATCCAACTGCGACGTCGGGGAGGACGGCAGCAGCATGCTACTCTCCTGCTCCACCTGCAGCCTGCGGGTGCATACCAGTATGTCCTGCATGCGGCACTGGGGCACCTTCGCCTCGCATTATTTTTGACGCTGGGCTGCTATAGGAATCACACAAAAAAAGTTAAGTTACAGAAAAATCTGCTTCCCTATTGGCCGATGGCCTCTATCGTCATGGAGACAGCCTCCTGCGATGACTGCCATGAATCGCATCACTGCAGGTCCGGAGGTTCAGGTGTCGCATTCCTCCCTCAACGATACTGTTGCATAAATGAGTGAAAACATAGCTAGAAATACCTCAACTGTGCCTTTCTGTGGCTCTCAGCGTCTTCCGAGTCGAGGTAGGCCGCATCCAGTGCAGAGTTCACTGCGCTAACTGGACATCCTACTTTTTTTTACCCACATCACAAACTGCGGCTGCATTTGATCTCCTTTCCTTACCGCACCTGAGTAGCGCTGCTCCCTCTTCAGTTTCTCCCGGTTCGTTTCATTGTTCACCGAAATGAGCGGAGCAGAGAAACGCAGAGCCAGCCAGTTTGCCGCCCTATTCCCTCGCTGAGTTCTAGGGCCCCGAATCCTTTCTGACACAGCGAGGCCTGTAATGGATGTCTGGGGCGCCGGGCATGTGTTAATGAATAGCAGAGGCCGGGAAGCTTCCTTCCAATTTGCCGCACTTCCTGTTTGTTATTTATTTCCTCGTTGTGCGGTGTGTCAGCCGGCCCCGAACGCGGCTCACTGTGTCGAATGGCTCGTTAGTGTCGGGTGTGAGAGCTCAGGGACCGTCCACCACTGCATGCTCTCTTCGGCTCCACTGCAGCTGCATGCTTGGAGGAACTGGCAGCCACTGGGTTTTGTATTTCTGATTCGTGGGCTCATTTATTATATCGTTGTAATTGTATACATATAACCGTGTATTTTTGGTCGAAGGGCATCGCATAAACACAGGCCAAGCAGCCTGGAAAGGTGGAGGACTGACAGTGTAACACATTCTGGTGACGAGACTCCTGTCTGGTGTAGCTGTAGGGCTCCCAGTGTGAACAGAAAGGCTGTAATCTGGCTTTGTTTGAGGCTCCCCCCTCCCCCCTGGGGCTGCAATTAAGCTGAGATGTAGACAGTGGCGTTGCATCAGTAACCTGCTCAACTTCCGGCTGGTGTAAACTCTGAGGAATATGACAAACTATGATGATCCTCCTCATAGGTCTACTGTCAGAAATGCAGGTCAGGTAAGAAAATACCATGTGTGCAAAGCCAGTGTAGTGACATCGTGTCTGATGGCGAAGAATGTCGACATATAGGTAGAGTGTCATTGTAGTGCCCCATGTCTTTCTGTGTGCAGCAGCTAGTATGTATGCATATGCTATATGAGTCTCTGTTATGCTACATAATGTTTATTTTCAGCATAGTAATATTTTTTCTACTTCGGCTTAAGTATCAGAGAAGCTCATCAAGCTGGTGGAGATGTAATTTTAAAATGTTGCAAAGTGCAGTATTAAAATTGAAATTAGAAACGTGTATTTTGGAATTTTTTCCTCATCGTATATTTTAGCATAATTTGGAAAAAATCGGGGGGAGAAGGTCTGGCTGGTTTCTGTGGGCCTAAAGCCCCCTCTGCCAGGAGGCCTCGTTTGTTTGTGTAGCAGGTGGTAACGGCTTATAAAGGGGTTTTCTTCTGCATGTCAGTCCTCAGAAGTCCCCCTGGATTCCATTTAGATGTGGTGTGATGTTCTGCAGATGCATTTGGTAAGAATGAGAGTGTGACCCGTGAGCTGCTCCTTTTTCCAGGCTGTTACGGGGTCCGGACCGACAAGGCGGAAGCAGACTGGACGTGTTCCCGGTGCGCAGCCGGAGCCTGGGGAGTGGTGAGTTCACTCTCAGACCCATTGGCCGGCGGCAAGATCGCTGGCATCACTTTTTGTAAAGACTGTGAAGATGTTGCCCACCCTTGCTTGAATGAAAAAAAAATAATAAATCCTTATTTTCTATAACAACATTTTTTTTATAAAACATTGGCATTGTTTAAACGGCAAAGCATTGCACAGCAGCTGCGGAGCATTGACCCAGCAACACCCAAGGCTGTTTATATGTCTGTCTCCAGTTATTACGAGCTCATTGTTCTGTTCTTATGGTGTAACTGCTTCCCACAGCTGTAGTGGTATTTAGCCTGAATGCTAAGTGCAGTTACCAATTAGCTACCTTTAGTATAATAATAACATTAATCTAAATGCCATAATACATTAAATGGATTTAATGTGAATAATACTGCACCATTTGGGCATCTTTACTCAGTAAATCATCGACGTGTTTATAGTCTTCGATTTTTCCGTTGAAGTGGTGCTTCACAGAGCCGTAAGCGTTAACCTTCTGCCGGGACTGGGATACCCGTCTGGGAGTGATGGTGAATGCTGGTTGCCGTGGCGATGTTGGGCGCTCTCCCCAGCCAGTGTCTTGTGCTCTTTCAGGATTGCTGCCTGTGCAGTCTGCGCGGGGGGGCCCTCAAGATGACTACGGATGGCAGGTCAGTACATGTGAAGCCGGCGGCTTCTTCATTATCGCCTGACGGTCCGAGTTCAGCACGCCGTGGAAAGCGGCTTTTGGGCTAGGTGCCGTTGCTAAATGCGGCCAACCCCCCCCCCCCCC